ATAAAACAGTAATACATTATATATAACATTATATATAGACATTTTTAAATTAAAAGCCTCAGAATTAAAGCTGAAAGTCTGAGTTTACACATCTTTACATAGTCAAATATTTATTAATTGATTGGAGGGCTTGGTAATATACACATATATGGAAACTGACACAAAGAACTGCTAGCCTTACAGATTGTGTAAATAAATGCAATTTTTATTTGTAAATTTTAATTCTTTCTTTTAACAAAAATAATTGAAAAACCATAATTACACTAGAAGATAAAGGAAATGATGAATAAACACAAACAGAGCCATTAAAAATGCTCCTGTGTAAACTACAATGGGGCCATAAATTAACCCTCTTGCTCGTTTTAGTCTCCAGAGTTGTCACTTTAGTGTTAAAAACACATGTGAATCTAAGTATAGTCTTATCTCCTGTGTGCTGCATACACACATAAACACACACAGTGACAATGAAAAGCTAACACTGCCCCAACATTACTTACTCCAAAGCTACTTCCTCCTTCCTTACTGTACACCAAGCAAAGCACCCAAAGGAATTTGTAGTTCATAATATTTGTGTATATTTAATCAAACTGATATGACTTTTCTCTTCTACTTCTTTTTGCACTGTACGCTGATTTATAAATATTTCCCTTCTGTTGCTCATTTGTCTTGTTTGGTCTGCTACAGAATGCACCGCTAGTTAGACGCTAATCGTATTTTAGTGGGGGAGCAGTGTGAAGGCAGCCAATCCCAACAAACTTAACAAGCTCATCATGAAAGCTGATCCTGGGAGCAGAGCTGAAGTCTTCTGTGGAAATTCTGCAGAGGAGGATGCTGTGGAAAATACTCAGTGTTCAACTCTGAGAGCAGCTTCAGTTATAAACACAGACCATAGAGATATGACGAAATAACATGAGAGGTCTTTTGTACTCATTAAAAATATAAAGATGTTATTATAATTATTATCTCTTGTTGTTTTTTTTAACCATTTTTGGTGTCTGTGCAACGTGCAGTACTTTATTTGGATGCTCTTAATATTTCAGCTTTTTTTTTAAAAACTGAAGTTATTTTTTTCTTTATTGTTATAAGACACTGGTCTTACTACTGGATTTATGACTTTACTTGTTTATTGCTGTTATTGCTGTATGACAGGCACAAAGAACAAATAATACCATACAAAAAAATCCTGCAGTTTACTGAAATAAAATAAAACTACTTAAAAATGTAACTGAAACAATATTATATATAATAATTTAAAATAATTTAAAATTAAATACTATTATTTGTGTGAGATGTGAGTCAAGTGTCTATAAAAACCAGGTGTTTGTACTGTAATACCTATTCAGAACTTTTATAATCGTATTTTTAAAATTAAAATGACTTTCCCATAATAAATTCATACAATTACAACAATTGAAGCTGAAACAAATAAAAACCAAAACTATACTTACTCTGGATACCAAATGTAATCAAATTGAAACTAAAATTGGAAATGAAATAATAACTAATGAACAACACAAAGCTCTTATAACTGCTGAAATGTCCCTTTAATTTTCTCCTGCATTCAGACACTCAAAGCTGAAGCTAGATATGACTAGCTACCAGTGAGCTTCATCCATAAACTGCACGGGTACATTGCAGGAAACTGGGAGCACAGACTTGGGTGGTTTGCACAACATAGTAACCAATAACATTTGTGAAACAGCTACAGTAATAATACTCCACAAAGACTACAACCAATAGCCTATAGCTGCTAATTAGGTCTCATCAGTGCCTAAATGGATGACTTATATAGTAAATTCACCTACACTACAGTTGTCATAAAAGAGGAAACTCTTCATGAAGACCAAATCTGTTTTTATATCAGGCTGTTCTGTAAAGTTGGGGATGTTTGCATGTGACTCGCTCTTGGAGCAAGGCATTTAGAGGAACTGCAGTTTTTGTAACTTCCATGTTAATTTTTTCCACTGCCGGAGCACTCAGATGGCAAAGATGAATTACAGCAACACTGGCATAACGAATCTGCCCTAAACCCCTGAGAACAAACAAGCAAAACTGAGAAGAAATGAAAGTTTTAAATGGAAAAGTTTTGCTCTAAAGTTTGAGATTTCCAACTTTTGTTGCGGTCAAAATGCACTGGTTGGCTTTAGGACAATATGTTTGCCAAACAGAGGTGATGCTTGAGCACTAAACAAACCAGTTCACTGCTCCAATTAAACTGTGTGTGAGATCCCTGTCAGATCTGAAAGGTAAAATTTGGCTCAGGAGGTCCTCAGGTGGACATCAAAGATAATTCCCCTCACTATAAAGCACTTCAGCACACTATGTGGGCCGGGGATCAAAGAGTACCTGCACTTTGTCATCCTTAAGCCTCCTTTCACTCGCCCCTCCTACCCCTGAGCGTGCTACAGCGAGACCACACACGCACATGCACCCGTACAGAATGTGTGTCAGCTCTAACCTTGCACGGCAGGGTCAAGATGTCCCTGATAGCGGTTTTGAATAGGGGATTGAGGATCCAAACCTCCCCACCCGCCCCCACTGCTTTTGTGATCTGTCAGAGTTAACAATGACCTTGGACAGTTCAAAAATAAACCACAGAATATATGGGTGCTTTTAGAGCCCGCAGCCACCCCGGTGCTGTCGGATGCCAAAAGAGAAAAAGAGCCGTTTTGTTAGTCATCAGCTTCACACCAGGGCAGGGAATCAATCTACCTCCCTCTGCGCACAAGGATATGAGAGAGTTGAATTACGTCTGTGTGTGTGTTGGTGTATATGGTAAGTATGCACACACACACACACGCACCCGGTGAGCACCTATTCTTTAAAGCATATGCAGGATAAATTTGTTGACAAGGTGGGTGTATTTGCAAGAAAGTATATGTTCAGGCATAAAGGTGAAAAAAATGTGCGTAATTTCATATATTTAGATTTTTCTTTTTGCTGTACAGCATCAGTTTTACCGCATAAACTATTTCTCCAAACTGACCATATTTATCACTAGTTAAAATAAGTGTGTGTAGTTCAATTTCAAATTTTTTCTAAAAAGAAAAAATCTTGAAATTGGCGGCATATTATAACCACAGTAGGAAAGAATGCTATAAAATCAGAAGAACGAGAAACACTAAAGTCAAAGGATCTTTGGCCATTTTACTTCTATAGCAGGTTTAATTTGGAAAGTAGTGGAATAAAAACATTCAAAATATATATTGGGGTTCTTTTTGCACTGATCTGATAATCAGTGCATGTTTAATAACATAATGCCTCGTTCACATATTTAAACATTTTAGAAAAACAAAACAAAGTAGTAACTAATAGCTCAGGAACTATTATAGTCATTTCTTTACTTTAAACACACAAAAATAATAAATTTTAAACGAACTAATAATAAATCTTCACTTCAGCAGTCTGTTACATACACGGCTTTTTGGCTTTTTTTTAAATACATAAATGGGTCATATGTAATTCAGAACCTGATTTATGAAATGTTTTGTTTTATTTTTTTGGCTATATAGAATAAAGATAAATCTAAACTCTTCTTTGTGAAATCCTTTGACTCTCCAGAAATGAACTGAGAATTGTAAATTATCATTATAAGTAATAAGTATTATTATAAGTAATTATATTATCATTAAACCCCCCAGGTGGTTCGTTTTGTTAGCGTTGTTGAAGAATTGCTGTTACTGCAGTGATGTATCCTAAAAAATAATCACTAACTCTAAAAGAAAGAATGTTATTTTAAGTTATATTTTAATGTTGCA